CGACGACGACGGCGGCGACTACGACGACGGCGGCGACGACGACGACCACGACGACGACGACGACGGCTGCGGCGGCGACGACGCCGGCGGCGGCGGCGACGACGACGATGACGACGACGACGGCGACGACGACGATGACGACGACGACGACGATGACGACGACGACGACGACGACGAGGACGACGAGGACGACGAGGACGACGAGGACGACGACGACGACGACGACGACGACCTCTGAACCACCACAGCACCACACCACATCCACAGGGGGGGGAGGGGGGCACCGCAGCGCAGCACCACGCCACGCCCACTTCTGAACCACCACAGCACCACACCACATCCACAGGGGGGGGGGGCACCGCAGCGCAGCACCACGCCACGCCCACAGGGGGGGGCGGGGGGGACCATCGCGCGGGGGGGGGGGGCCCAATGGCATCAGCATTGGGGGGGGGGGCCAAGCCCTGGACCATATATGTATGCACTTCGTGGCCCCCGCTCGTTCGCGCCCGTCGTGGCCCCATAGGCATGCCCTTCGTGGCCCCGCTGTTGTCCTTTGTGGCCCCCTCGCTGTCCTACGTGGCCCCGTTGCTGCCCTCAGTGGCACCGTCTTTGCTCTCCGCGGCCTAATATATGTATGTCCTTCGTGGTCCCCGCTCGTTCGCGCCCGTCGTGGCCCCATGTGCATGCCCCTCGTGGCCCCGCTGTCGCTCTTCGTGGCCCCCTCGCTGTCCTACGTGGCCCAATTGCTACCATCAGTGGCCCGTCGTTGCCATCGGTGGACCCGCATTATCTGCCCTTCGTGGCCCCCGCTCGTTCGCGCTCTTCGTGGCCCCATACGCATTTCCTTCGTGTCCCCGCTGTCGCCCTTCGTGGCCTACTTCGTGACTTTGGTGGCCCCGCTGTCGTTCTCTCTCTCGCTCTCGCTTTAGCTCGTCGTCGTCGTCGTCGTCGTCGTCGTCGTCGCCGTCGTCGTCGTCGTCGTCGACGTCGTCGTCGTCGACGTCGTCGTTGTCGTCGTGATCGGTCCCCTGTCCGTCCCTCTTGGGGTCGGGTTGCCGCCGATCAGCGCTGCCGCTGGCCAGGCCGACGGTCCGCGGCCGCCCCGCCGCTTGCCGGGGCCCGGCCTGCAGGGAAGAAAGGTATACCCCCCAAAAGGGGTCGATCGAAGACGAAGAGGGCGGGTATCGAGGGTTTGGGACATACGCGTTATTGGACACTCGAGCATATAAGGGCGAGCGGTCTTAAACTTATTGTTGTTGTTGTTGTTGTTGTTGTTGTGGTTGTTGTGGTTGTTGTTGTTGTTGTGTTGTTGTTGTTGTTGAACATTATTAATTCTAAAGAATAATTATTGTTGGGCCCCCTGGTGCGCGCCCCCCCCGCCGCGCCTAGGCCGCAGCCACGTTTTCATCATTTTCGTGAGGAAGCCTCAGGTAATTCGATGTGATCAAGATCCGGTTGTTTTGTTGTAATCCGTTTTCCCTTGCAAAAAACACTATAAAATGACATTTCTTGTTCTAATATAATCAAATTTCAAGAATCCCTTGCAAAAAATAAGGTAAAGTGGACATTCGCGCGCGCAAGACGAAATCCTTCCAAAAGCTTAGTGTTCGGAGCGATTTTAACATAAAAACATCAAAAAACCAATGGTTTTTCAACAAAAAAATGTCAAAATCTCATCCCGCGCGCTCTTGCGGATTCGTAGGAAACCAACACTTTTTAAACATTTCTGTCAAACGGGCTTTTGCGAGCAACTTTTTCGAACTTCTGCGACAACGGTTGCGCACCTGCCAGGGCCATCATCCCTGTCAAATAATACCATGCGGGACACATTCGTTTTTTCTTCGCGCGCGCACGCCGAAATCTCCAAAAACCATTGGGTTCTGTGGGTGTGTACCCCACGCCAGTGTAGTAGCCACGGTCGTCCGCACGCCACGAAGTGAAGTGTCCCAACGTCATAGGGCGGGAAGCTGGGTTTGGGTGGTCGCGAAGAGTCGTTTGGATATTTGGTAGAGCTTGTAATGCCCCCCCACGAAGTGGGGGTATTGCCTGGTGTCGTATGAAAACCCTGGCACTGGGGAGAACACCACGCGTTCGGGTAAAATGATTGTTGTTGTTGTTGTTGTTGTTGTTGTTGTTGTTGTTGTTGTTTTTGTTTTTGTTGTTGTTGTTGAACTCTCATTCTTGAAGAATAATCATGGTTGATCCCCCCCCACCGGTGCACATTGATTTTTTTCGATTGAAGTGCCACCCCCGGGGCTCGCACTTTGTTTTTTCTCAAGGAAAGTCTTCCTGCTCAAACTGTGCTCCTGCCCCCCGGGCTACAACAACAATGGCTCCCGCCTGAGACGTCCTCGCTTTTTACTCAGGACCCCCGTTCCCGCCTGAGACTTCCGCGCAATTTACTCAGGAAAGGCGCTCCCGTTTGAGACTTCCTCGCAATGTAATCAAGACCCCCGCTCCCGCCTGAGACTTCCGTGCAATTTTCGTTGGAACGGCGCTCCCGCCTGAGACTTCTTCGAATTTTACTCAGGACCCCCGCTCCTGCCTGACATTTCCGCGGAATTGACTCAGGAACGGCGCTCCCGCCTTAGACTTCCTCGCAATTTAGTGAGGACCCCCGCTCCCGCCTGAGACTTCCGTGCAATTTGCTCAGGAACGGCGCTCCCGCTTGAGACTTCCTCGCAACTTAGTCAGGGCCCCCGCTTCCCGCCCGAGATTTCCTCACAATGTACTCAGGACTGCGCTCTCGCGTGCGACGTCCTCACAAATTATTCTGGAATTGCGTTTCGGCGCTCAGGAACCACGCACGCGCCAAGGACGCCTTCACAACGTGGTATCTTCCCTCTTCCTTCGTCCTTCCCCCTCCCCTTCCTCCCACTCTCCCTCGTTCTTCCCCTCCTCCTCTTGCAGGGCCCGCGCCAATTCCAATGGCGGGCAGAGAGATGTACGCCCCCGAAGGATTGTCCGCCCGTTCCGGTTTGCCCGTACGTCTAAGCCCGCCGGCCCCAGCAAAGAGAAATAATCCCTCCGGAAGGGGTGTGATCGAAAACGAAGAGGGCGGGTTTCGAGGGTGTAGGGTATACGTGTTGAATGACTCGCGGGCAATTAAGAGCGCACAGCCTTAAAATGGTTGTTTATGTTGTTGTTGTTGTTGTTGTTGTTGTTGTTGTTGTTGTTGTTGTTGAACTCTCATTCTTGAAGAATAATTATTGTTAATCCCCCCCACCGGTGCACATTGATTTTTTTCGATTGAAGTGCCACCCCCGGGGCTCGCACTTGGTTTTTTCTCAAGGAAAGTCTTCCTGCTCAAACTGTGCCCCTGCCCCCCGGGCTACAACAACAACGGCTCCCGCGTGAGACTTCTTCGATTTTTACTCAGGACCCCCGCTCCTGCCTGAGACTTCCGCGCAATTTACTCAGGAAAGGCGCTCCCGTCTGAGACTTCCTCGCAATGTAATCAAGACCCCCGCTCCCGCTTGAGACTTCCGTGCAATTTTCGTTGGAACGGCGCTCCCGCCTGAGACTTCTTCGAATTTTACTCAGGACCCCCGCTCCTGCCTGACATTTCCGCGCAATTGACTCAGGAACGGCGCTCCCGCTTGAGACTTCCTCGCAATTTCGTGAGGACCCCCGCTCCCGCCTGAGACTTCCGTGCAATTTGCTCAGGAACGGCGCTCCCGCTTGAGACTTCCTCGCAACTTAGTCAGGGCCCCCGCTTCCGCTCGAGATTTCCTCACAATGTACTCAGGACTGCGCTCTCGCGTGCGACGTCCTCACAAATTATTCTGGAATTGCGTTTCGGCGCTCAGGAACCACGCACGCGCCAAGGACGCCTTCACAACGTGGTATCTTCCCTCTTCCTTCGTCCTTCCCCCTCCCCTTCCTCCCACTCTTCCTCGTTCTTCCCCTCCTCCTCTTGCAGGGCCCGCGCCAATTCCAATGGCGGGCAGAGATATGTACGCCCCCGAAGGATTGTCCGCCCGTTCCGGTTTGCCCGTACGTCTAAGCCCGCCGGCCCCAGCACAGAGAAATAATCCCCCCGAAAGGGGTGTGATCGAAGACGAAGAGGGCGGGTATCGAGGGTGTAGGGTATACGTGTTGAATAACTCGCGGGCAAGTAAGAGCGTACAGCCTTAAAATGGTTGTTGTTGTTGTTGTTGTTGTATTTGTTGTTGTTGTTGCTGTCGTTGTCGTTGTCGTTGTCGTTGTCGTTGTCGTTGTCGTTGTTGGTGCTGTCGTGTTTCTTCTTCTTCAGGGGAATCGGCCCGGCATGAGGGAAGCGGGGCCCCGGGGGAAAGCCGTCCTGTGCCGCTTCCGCCAGCGTGACCCTCCCTCGGGGCCTCCAGGGCCCCAGGACCGCCAGAGAGCGGTTCGGGACACAGATCCAGTCCCGGGGAGCGGCCACGGCCACGGGCACGACCACGGGCACGGCCACGGCGACGGTCACGGCCACGGCCACGGCCAAGGCCACGGCCACGGTCACGGCCACGGCCACGGCCACGGCCACGGCCACGGCCACGGCCACGGCCACAGCCACGGCCGCGGCCATGGCCACGGCCACGGCCACGGCCACGGCCATGGCCTGGGATGTCCAGGGCCCGCCTCCATGGGGACCTTTTGCTGCTTCCCCTCGCGGCAAGAGAGCGGGTCGGCTCCCTCGAAGGAGCCCGAGGCTCTCGGAGAGGGCCGCCCCCGTCGCCCCAGCCGCCCCCGTGGTCGGAGGAAGGCGACTGTACAGATCCACTTGGCGCCTCACCCTCCCCAGGAAAGGATGAACACAGTCAGAGGAGGAGGAGGAGGAGGAGGAGGAGGAGGAGGAGGAGGAGGAGGAGGAGGAGGAGGAGGAGGAGGAGGAGGAGGGGGGATCAGGGATCGAGAGAGAGAGAGAGAGAACAAAACATTGTACAGGCACAACAGTGTCCGAGGTCCGCGCGGAGTTCTTGCATCCGCTCTGGGCCCCCCCACTTCCCAGAGCCAGAGACTTCGACCAGGCGGCGGAGCGCCGATCTGAGAAATCTACGCGGAGCTCCAGGTTCCTCTTGGAGGGAGGAGTGGAAGCGATGAACCTGTGCCACGATTCGCCTCCTGCTCTTGCGCGCCCCCGACATGGAGCCCAGAGGCAGCCGGAGCGGCCTCCCCGGGGCCCAGGCAAAGACCTGGACGGGGACGGCCTCCAGAGATTTTGGTGTCGGTGCTCGCATGGGGCCCCCTGCCGAGGCAGGCGGGGCAACGCGAGCCCAAGAGCGCGCTCCACTCATACAAGACGAGTGCGAGCAGCCTTCAAGTCGTCGGTGCGACTTCGAGACATCGAGGGACAAAAACGGCATCCGCGCGGATTTCTCGGATCGGCGCTGGACCCGTGTCCATCCCAGCAATCCGCGCGGACCTCCAACAGTTTGTGCTTATATGTTCCGTTCCCAGCAATTCTGTGGTGTTGGAACCTCCTTTTGAAGGAACAGCGCCCCGCGTCACTCCTCCCGCTGCGCCCTCCCTCCTCATACTCCTTATCCTCCTCCTCCTCCGCCTCCTCCTCTCAATATCATCATTATCATCATCAGCATCATCATCATCATTATCATCATCATCAACGTCACATCATGATCATTCTCATCATCATCATCATCATCATCATCATCCGCACCATCACCATCACCATCACCATCACCATCACCATCATCATCGTCACTGCCACCACCATCATCATTATAATCACCGCCACCACCACCATTTTTATCATCGTCATCTTTCTGACCATCATCATCACCGTCATCACCATCATCACCATCATCATAATCACCATCACACCATCGTCATTACCATCAACATCTCATACTTTCATCATCTCATCATCATCATCATCACCATCATCCTCATCCTCACCATCGTCACCATCCTCGTCATCATCCTCATCATCATCGTCATCGTTATTAATCGTAGTATTAGTACGACTACTTCTATTTTATATTACTATCATTGCTTGAACACGTTGTTTATCAGTATCGCTAGTATCAATCTTCATTCGCATTATTCGTATCAGTTTCATCGTTATTATCTATTCTTTAATGTACATATCCTTATTCTTATTATTATTATTATTAATGTTGTTATTACTATTGCTACCATTTTTTTTTGCAATTCCTACTAGCATCGTTACCACCAGCAGCACCAGCATCAACATCCGCATCATTATTATCATCATCATCGTCATCGTCATCACCATCATCATCATCATCATGATGATCATCATCATCATTATCATCATCATCATCATCATCATCATCATCATCATTATCTTCGCCATCATCATCATCATCATCAGCAGCATTAGTATTACCATCTTCATCAGTATCATCAGCAACATGATCATCATCATTATCAGCATCAGCATCAGCATCAGCACCAGCATCACACCATAATCATCGACGTCGTCATCACCATCATCGTCATTCTGATCGCTGGCACACCCCTGACACGTTTCGTAGTCCCATATGGGGGCTTCATCTAAGGCCTCCGTGGCGCAGTTCGCATGTGGGCGTCGCTCCCGTTTCGGCACGCCCCTCACACGTTTCGTGGCCCCACAAGGGGCTCCACCGAGTGCCTCCGTGGCGCAGTTCGCATGTGGGCGTCACGCCCATTTCGGCACACCCCTTACACGTTTCGTGTCCCCATAGGCAGCTCCACCGAAAGCAATGGCCACACCGCGGTACTCAGAACTGTATATGCTTGTGTCCTTCGTCAGGATAATTCCCGGTTTTCGTCGTGGTGTTCGTGTCTTTCGTGGTGTTCCTCTTGGTTTTCGTCATCGTCGTCATCGACATCGTCGTCGCTATCATCGTTTGAGGACGTCGCTAATCCCTGCCACCGTGCCAGCGCATCCGATACGGTGGTCTCGGTCGGTAGGCGCGTTATGGTATGGGCTGGTACCCGTTGGCCGGTATCCGGTACGGGAGTGGCCACCATGCAGGTTTTGTAGAGAGTTTTTGGAGCCATCTTACCTACGATGCTGTAGTATGGCGTGGCCGTGACTGTGCACGTTTGTTGCGTTGCCTTTTGGGGTGTCCTTGGAAGTTTCTTGGGAGCTTCTCTGTGGCCTCTTGGGGGGACTTGGGGCACTCTCGGGGCAGTCAAGACGCTGAATTATGGCGTCCCAGGAATGGTGTTTGCGCACGATAAGGTTCTCAGACGGTTACATTCCAATGGGGCATTACCAGGACCGAAATCGACTCTTGCAGGGACCTGTGAAGGCGTTATTTGGAGGGAGGGTCTATTGCAACATCGTCGATGCGTTTTGGGTTTACATGGGTCCTCCTTCTCCTCCTTCCCTCCTTCCCTCCTTCCCTCGTTCCCTTCCCTCCCTCCCTCCCTCCCTTCCCCCTCCTCCTCCTCCTCCTCCTCCTCCTCCTCCTCCTCCTCCTCCTCCTCCTCCTCCTCCCTTCCTCCTCCCTTCCTCCTCCTCCTCCTTCTCCTCCTCTTCCTCCTCATTTCTCATTCCTCCTCCTCATTCCTCCTCTTCCTCCTCCCTCCGCTTCCCTCCCCTCCTCCTCGTGGATAAGTCCGCCTCGTCGCCCCCCCCACCCAGGCGCGCCGGTGGGGCGGGCCAGGCGTTCCGCCGGAGACGCCCCCCACGGATGGAGGGCGGCCTCCCCGCGGATGCGTGGCGGCCTCCCCCCGCGCCCCCTGTGCGGGCAGGCCGCCGCGGCGGCGTCGCGGCCCTCGCCCAAAGCGGGGGCTGCCGCCTCGCCCAAGGTCGGCCCCGCGCCGAGGCCCGGCGCGCCGTGAGGCCCCGGGCGCCGCCGCGGCGGCCGCGTCGGCCGCTCGTCGTCGTCGTCGTCGTCGTCGTCGTCGTCGTCGTCGTCGTCGTCGTCGTCGTCGTCCTCCCTCCGCCCTCCTCGCTCCCGCCGCCCTTCCTCCGGCCCTCCTCCCTCCCTCCTTCTCCTTCCTCCATCCACTTCCTACTCTCCCCATCTCTCCGTCCTTCCCTCCCTCCCTCCCTCCTTTCCTCCTACCTCCCTCGCCCCTCCCTCGCCCCTCCCCGCCCTTTCCTCCTCCCTACCTCCTTTCCTCCCATCCTCCTCCTCCTCCTCCTCCTCCTCCTCCACTATTCTTTCTCCTTATAAATAACGTCGCCCTGTCGCACCGCGACGCCACTTTTTAGGGCGGGCCGGGTGTCCCGCCTGAGATTTCCTCACCATTTATGACATTGAAGCTTCAGAGTCGGCAACAGTGGCTCTCGCTTTAGCGCCGCGCACATTCGTTTAACAAATTGCAAGAGATTCACGGGTTGAGGGGAACCCGTTTTCAGAATGTGGCTCTCTCCTTAGCGCCGCGCACATTCGTTTTAAACAGTTGCAAGAGTTTCACGGATTCAGGGCGGCTCCTTTTCACCATATGGCTCCCGCTGTAGCGCTGCGCACATTCGATAGTGAAAGTTGTGAGAGTTTCACGCATTGAGGTAAACCCGTTTTCAAATTGTGGTTCTCGCCTTAGCGCCGCGCGCATTCGCTTTAAACAGTTGCAAGAGTTTCACGGATTCAGGGCGGCTCCTTTTCACCATGTGGCTCCCGCTTTAGCGCTGGGCACATTCGTTAATGAAAGTTGCGAGAGTTTCACGCATTGATGTGAACCCGTTTTCAACATGTGGCTCTCGCCTTAGCGCCACGCACATTCGTTTTGAACATTGACAAGAGTTTCACGGATTGAGGGCGGTTTCTTTTCAAAACGCGGCTCCCGCCTTAACGCCGCGCGCATTCGTTCATACAATTTGCAAGAGTTCCACGGGTTCCCATGATCAAAGTACCAGAAATTGTGTTTAGGAAGGATTCAGGATTCTGAGGGTGCAACAGTTACGTTCGTTCGCGGTGTTGAAGTCCCAGAAATGGCGTTCTGACGCGAATCAGAACCGTCAAAACGCAACAGTCAGGTTGATCCGTAGCGTTGGAATCCCGAGAACATTTTTTTGTCATGCTTCAGGGTCTTCAAACGGTTGTCTTCCAACGAGACAGTTCCCTCAATGGACATGAACCGCTGTAGGGGCCTATGAAGACGGAGCTTGGAGGGAGGGTTTATTCCAACATTGTTGATGACTTTTGGGTTCACACTGATCCTCCTCCTTCTTCCTCCTCTTCCTCCTCCTCCTCCTCCCCCCCCCCTCCCCTCCCTACCTCCCTCACTCCCTCCTCCTCCTCCGCCGTTTTTTTTTTGTTTAGTTGTACGGGCATAAGGTCTCTAGCTGTTGCGTCTGGGCCTCCCTCCCTCCCCTCACCCCTCCTTCCCTCCCTCCCCATGCTTCCTCCCTCCCTCCCTCCTCCCCCTCCCCCTCCTCCTCCTCCTCCTCCTCCTCCTCCTCCTCCTCTCCTCCTCCTCCTCCTCCCTCCTCCTCCCCTCTCCTCCCCTCCTCCTCCTCCTCCTCCTCCTCCTCCCCGCTCTTCCCCTCCTCCCCTCCTTCCTCCTCCTCCTCTTCCACCCTCCCTCAGGGGTGAGCCGCCGCCCCTCCAGGCCGTCCCAACATTCGGATCCAGTTCCCTAGCAAGCGCCAGCAAGCTTCATCCTCTCTCCTCTTTCTCATCCTTCCCTTCTCCTCCTCCCTCCTCCCCCCCTCCCTCCCTCCCGTCTCCCTCCCCTCCTCTTCTTCTTCTCTTACTCCCTTCTCCTTTTTCCCCTCTCCTCGCCCTCTCCTCCTCCTCCTCCTCCTCCTCCTCCTCCTCCTCCTCCTCCCTCCTCCTCCTCCTCCTTCCTCCTCCTCCTTCTCCTCCTCCCCCCCCCCTTTGTTCACCCATTCCCCCCCTCGCTCCCTCCCTCCTCCTCCCCCTCCTTTTGCTTCCCTTTTTTATGCATTCCCTGATCTACATGTCTCCTCACTGTTGCATCCCTGGACGTTTCGCTAGGGCGGGCGGGACGTTCCGCCTACGACTTCCCGGCTACGTATGACCCCGAAGCTTCAAATTTGCGGCAGTTGCACCGACGGAGAGGGAGTTGTTTTCTAAATGGGACTCTCGCCCTAGCGCCGCTCGCTCTCGTCTGAACAACTGGCGTCATAGACACGGGTGGAGGGGGGGTTGTTGTGGAAGGAGGGGGAGCAGTCGTCCAGATGAGGTTCCAGCTTTAGCGCCGCGCGCATTCGTTTGAACAACTTGCAATAGCCACACTGGCGGAAAAGGGGGTGGAGTTGCGGAAAAGGGGGTGGGGTTTTCAAATTGGGGTTCTCGCTTCAGCGCCGCGCGCGTTTCGTTTTAAAGGCTTGCAGCATTTACACCGCTGGGTGGGGATGACTTTTAGCATGAGTCTCTCGCCTTCTCGCTGCGTGCATTCGTCTTAACACATGTCGTGCTTGAAGGCGCGCGTGATGATGATAACGATGATGATGATGATGATGATGATGATG